CGCCGGGAACGAGTCTTTCAACGCCGCACACGCGTGTGCGGCGCCTGCTGCGCGTCGCGGACGCGTCGTCTTGTGATGCCGCTTGTTCGCAGCCGGAGGCAAACACTCCGCCGCGTGGTCTTGTGTGTGCGCATACAACGCATTCGTCACATCAAACAGACACAATATCAACTCGTTGTAAATCTTCGGTGTACCCGGCAATCCCGTGCCCGGCTGGTCGATTGTTACCGTCGGTGGTCCATACCCTGGCTGAACGGCTCTTGGGTGAATGGCTCCCGGCTGAGCGGGTGCCGGTCCAGGTCCTGGCTGAAGAGGTCCTGACGGGCCCAGTCCAGTCGGGGGTTGTCCTAGTCCCCCGTTCGAAACCGCACCTGGGAAGGCACTTTTGGCCGCAGTGGGGAGCGGGCTGGCCAAAGGGGGACCGCTGGTCCGAGCGCCGGTCGGGAGCTGCAGCGAGGTGTTCGGCGAGGCCGATCGAACCAACCCGACGACTTCGCCGCGGGTGCCCAGGGGTGGCCCTGACCCACCCTCGGACAAGGGGATTCGCGCCTCCATCTTCTGCTCCGCTTCTCGGTGCACGCGAGAAGCCGACTGCGTCGAGTTCAAAGCGTCCACGTGCAATTGCAACAGCGAACGCACCGAACCCAACAGCCATAGCAACGCCTGCATCCGGTCCGCCAGATGCTCTTCCACTGTCATCGCACAGGCCCGCATCCGATCTACACGAAGCAAACGTGAAGCAAACGTGTGTGCGCACAAAAGCAAAAGTGTGCGCACAAAAAGCAAACGTGTGTGCGCAAAGCAAACGTGTGCGCAAACTTACTCTGAAGGGTCTCTAGACAGCCACTCTTGTACAATTCGTCAATTACAACCCGGGCATGACCACCTATGAACTCTTTTTTGGTGATCCGATCCAACAACTCAAATCCGATCAGCGCTTTGCTCTCATCATGCTTAAATGAAAAATCATGCTTCATTATGGTGGCATACATTATGGTGGCATACATTATGGTGGCATACATTATGGTGGCATACATTATGGTGGCATACATTATGGTGGCGGCTGTGAAGAGATGAGTTACATTAGATAAGTGTATATTGATGACAATGCATAACCATCCAAACAGCACACACTGAGACCTTCTAAGAAATGTTATACTTCGAACAACACATGGAACTGAATAGGGATCGACCTTGTAGCTCATTATATGTTCCATGTCAGTCTAAAGTTATGAATTCATACTTGGAAGAAAGTCTTACCGATTTTACGGAGGTGAGCATGTTCTGGGAGTAGTTCTGCCATTCTTCTGACGGTTTTTGGTCCAGGTTACATAAATGCCTCAAGGAGATCAGTAGTAAGTCTAAAACGCCATCAGCCACAATTCCGTGTGCGGCAATTTTCATCCACCTGTTATTCCCACGTGTTATTCCCACCGAGCCGTGAATTTAAACCCTCAACCCGGGCTGCGACCTTGAGCTGTGACTGTGATGGCGGGTTGACCTGTGACTGTGATGACGGGTTGACCTGTGACTGTGATGGCGGGTTGACCTGTGACTGTGATGGCGGGTTGACCTGTGACTGTGATGGCCCCTAATGTCAAGTACAAAGTCCCCCCCCCCCCCCGTAAAAGCAAAGTCCCCTAAAGTTAAGATCATCTCCTACCAGCCAACCTTGTTCGGTGCTACTCAGAGGCGCGTGGCTGTAGATTGATTACAGTTCAGTCCCACTTGATTACTATCTATTCGTTTTGGGTGACCTCACCTTGAACCACCGCTTGGGTCGGTAGGAGATGAGGTCGAAGAAAACCTCCTGTCTCATTGACGGCGGACATCTGGACCGGGGAGGTCTGTATTCGCCTTCGGCAGTGAAAGGGAGGAGGTAGTGGAAGTCGTCTAGTTTGGCGTTTTTGGGGAATTCGAGGAAGGTGGCTACGAGGGCAGTGCATTCATTTGCTCGTTCCGAGAGTAACAGGTGTGTGCAACCAGGGAACACTATGAGGTGACAGTTATTGAGTTCCTCGAGCATGGTGGTGGCGATGTGAACAGGGACCACGGTATCGGTGCTGCCCCAGAGTAAGAGGATGGCGATCCCCGTTCGACCCAGCTTGCGATAAATGTCGTGACCGTTCCAAATGGGGAGTCTAGTGACCGCGCCAAGAAAGGCAGGGATTGTACCCCTCTTGTCGAAGAGGTTCCACATAATCCGATCCCACATGACCTGTGCAGCACCGGAGGCACAGTCGTCAGACGAACAACGATCCATAAAGGACTTGCGGTTAAAACAGCATCGGCACACACAGCAAGGAGAACATGGAATTAAACACTCACACGTCATTATTGCCGATATAGAACGCGGACGATGTTCCAACATACCCGCCGGAGACACCAGTATCAGACGCAAGACCAAGTTCATGTGCTTACACGCAAACGAACATGCTATCAATGCTCCCAAACTAAAGGCGATCAAACTGCAAGAGCGGTCCTGCAGCTTCAAGTGCACTAACAACTCATCCAACTGGTCCACAAAGAACTGGGGCGTATATGTATATCCCCCGAACACATCGAACGGCGGGCACGAAGACAGGCCATGACCATACAAATCTACAGAACTACGTTAACAACCTACACCGGACCGGAGCAAAGGTTGGAATCACGCACTGCTTACCGTACGTTAAGACCTGATAACCAATGGCAATCAAATCCTTCGCTGCGCCCTGCCAGGTTGATCTTGTTCCGTTCAAACCGTGAAACCCAATTACCAACTCTCCATCCTCCGGACCTTCCAGTTTATAATGAGTAATTCCCAACGAGCCTTTGAACAACGAGTGCACTTGGTACGGGCATGTCTTCTTCTTCGCCTTTCGCTTTATGCTTGGATGGTCTTCTAACGGATTACCTTGCTCTTGAAAAATGTCAGGCCCCTGCTGATGAGAGGAAGCATCCTCCGTATGAGTAATACTGACAGGCTGTTCATGATTTTTCCCAGGTGAACCTTGGCTCATTAACATTGATGCCCTTTTTTGGGCGCAACAGCGAGAAGCGTGTCCTTGCGAGATGCAAAAAAGCTGCGGAAGGGATTCTCTCGCCAAACAACCAACCAATTAACAAAGCGGCCTTATTCCCTGCCCCTCGCCCCAGTTTGCTTCACGATGCTCCGGTGCACACGCGTGTGCTGCCTTGATAATGAGGCGCGATGGTGGGTTACTGGCCGGAGACGAGCGCGAGGACCAAGAGTTTCGCCGTTACTTGAAGACGCTGAACACGGAGCCCGATACAATACGCCATACTTGCATCAAATGTCGCATCAACAAGCCATCGATGGAATGCTCTGATTGTTTTGCGCTATTGTGTCAGGGCTGTATTCGTTTTTATGGACATGACCCCAAGCACAAGGTAACCTTCCACCATCCAGAGAACTTGCCGCATAATCTCATTCCGGGTGTTGAACCATCTTATTTGCCGCCGGATATGATGGTAAACATTAAGAGAGCGACCGGTGGCGCTGGGGCAGGGACAGCCGGTTTCCGACCGGGTAGGGGTGCGGGAGGAGACCCCTGCGACATCAGCGATTCGGAAGAGTCCGATCCTGGGCTGGTTCCGCGTGTGGCGCGAGAATACAAAACGGTGACGACCAACAGCGAGGCGGTCTCGTTGTATGAGGGAACCACAAAGGTTTGTCGCAGCTGCAACTACCGGATATTGAACGACTTGCGCAGACATCCCCCTAACCATGTCATTCTTGACCCGGACACGGCGGCGAAAGAAATCAAGGCGAAGCTGGAGGACTATGAGATCAATGGTCCGCAATTGGTCGCTCGAGGTGACGAGGCTCAGCACTTTTGCATTGCGGAACGGGAGAAGCTTAAGAGAGATCGAATAAGGGTTAATGAGACTCTTGGAGAGGCGTATCGGGTGGCTAGCCAGGCACTGCAGGAGACTAAACTCCAACTAATCAAGGCGTTGAAAAAAGTCTTTGAGGAGCGCGCTGAGGAATTGGATAGAGTGGACAGCGTCTTGCATCGGCGGCAGCGGATTCTCACCTGCTACGACAGCATCCTGGCGCAGCTAATTCCCTTGGGAAGAGAGAATCACGCAGCAGGAATCAACGTCTGGCGCAAGTATTGCAGGAAAATAAACGAGAACGAGCACGACAAGACGCTGCAGAAGCCCACCTCTTTGCTTTACCACCAGGTCGGGCCCTACATTGACGGCATCGACGCGGCGCTGGACAGCGTGAAGAAGGTTGCTGACCTCATGTCGGCCCGGATTACGTCCATCGTGGCCGGCCACGTCGACCGGTCGATCATGAAGCCGGACGAGATTCGCAACAAGATCGACGGCAAGGTCTTCATGAACTTGGATACTCTGCGGGACGCCCAGCGCATGCAAACGTTGCTGGGTTTGCCGCTGACTCTGAGCAATGCTCCGGGCACTGATGTGGCCGTGTACAGCCGAGATATCGGGCCGGTGACGAAGTCCATGTTCTTCTACATGATAGACACCTTCCATACGCGCTGGACGAAGGTCTTGGTCGCCATCCACGACTACCGCTGGCTGGCCGTCTATGTGCCGGACATTCCCGTGGTCGTGGACGGCGACGACCCTACACTGGGATTCCGACACGGTGAATTCGCCGACCTCATGACCGACTCACACAAACCGCTGTACAGACGCCCACCTGAGTGTGTCCTACGCCTTTCGGAACTGAAGTGCACGCGTTTTGAACCCTCGACCCGCCGCTTCGATCGCCAGCTCACCCGAACCTCGACGGACTCGGCGGCTGTTGCGGGTCCGCAGCGGGCAAGGAGCTCTTTGTCCGACGTCTCCTCGCGCGGGAGCTTAGCCAAGACGACAGCGAAGGCAGCGGGAAGTCCCGCCGCAGAGCCTGTCGCGGGGGCAGTGGCAGGTGCTACAGCTGAGGCTGGCGCGGGTAAGGCTGGAGAGGTTAAGGCCGGCGCGGCTAAGGCCGACGCGGCTAAGGCGAGTCCCAGAAGTGGCAGCAAAAACCGCAGTCCGGGTTCCTCGCCGCGGAGCCCTTCGGCCTCGCCCATTTCGGAGGTGGCTGCGAAGCCGGAGCCGGGGTTCATGCCGCACCTGATACAGGGCCAGAAGGACCTGACACCGATGGCCAGACTGCTGGGCGAAACCATCAACACATCGGGCCTGGAGGTGCTGCGGATTGTGAATGGGAAGCCGGTGGGGTGGTGGATCTTCGTGCACCCCAAGGACGAGACGGTGCGCGGCTGGGCCACGGAACTAGGCAAGACCGGACCCAGCCTCCATGTCGACGACCACTGGCCCTCCATCTCCAGCAGGTACACCCCCTCCACCAACCCGGGCACCAACGCCAAGGCGCTGGGCATCGACATGCCACCTGTCGGACGCCGGTGGGCCGCAGTCCACGTCCGGGACACGCCACTCAACTGGGAAGAACCCCCGACATAACGGGTGCTGGGTGTTGGCCCCAAGCTGGTGCTGGACCCAACCGGCTGGGTGTTGGACCCAAGCTGGGTGCGGAGTGTTGGACCCAAGCTGGGTGTTGGACCCAACCGGCTGGGTGTTGGACCCAAGCTGGGTGCGGAGTGTTGGACCCAAGCTGGGTGCGGAGTGTTGGACCCAAGCTGGGTGCTGGGTGCTGGACCCAAGCTGGGTGCTGGGTGCTGGACCCAAGCTGGGTGCTGGGTGATGAATCTGAATGTACACCCCCATATTACGTCTGGGAGGTCTATCCCAACCCCGTATAAAATAGTTACACTGTTTGGATAGCGAGGTTAGTGTAGAGTGGTCCGGGACAAAAAAGAATTACTCTTCGTCAGCAGGGGCAGCCTTAGCAGAAGCAGCCTTCTTACGGGCAACACGGCCGGGGCGGCCGCCACCGAAGGGAGAGGTGCCAGCGAAGTCTATGTGCTTCTCGGAGTCAATGCGGACCATGAAGGAGGGGCAGTCAACAAGCTGCTCACCCACTCTGATGTGGCGTTGTCTGATGAGCACACGGGCGTGGTGGATAGACTTGGCGTGGGCCAGCTTGAACACTCTCGTCTGGAGACGTCTTTCCATCAACTTGTTGACAGTGAGACCGAGGACGTAATCCAACTTCTGCTCGTTCTCGTTCAAGAGTCCGAGGCGAGACAGACGACGGAGGAGGGCATGGCCTTCGAAAAGTCTCTTGGGGTCGTTCTCGTCCAAGGTAAGAAGCTCACGAGCGGCCTTACGTATCTTGGCGAGGACCAATTGGACTCTCCAGACTTCCCTCTTATTCTTTAGGCCGTACTCGCCAATGAGCTTCAATTCCGCTTCAAGGCGCTCCTTCTCATAAGGCCTCTTTGGGGAGCGAGCAGTCTTGCTATTGTTGATGTAGCACTTAACCATTTACTTCGAATATGCCCCTTTCGGCTGTTTTGATGCCGCCGAACACGTGTTTTTATGCGCTGCAAAAAAACTGGAGACACAACAAATGACAGTTAAGATGCACCGTCTTGTCATACTGAGCACCACGATGCTCTGCAAAGCTGTCTGGACTCCTGGAATGCCAATTCAAGTCAAGAACATCATCAAACCGACAACTGAGTACCCGGACGACAACATTGCAAGAAGCGCATGGGCATCTTTTGGTTTAATGGCCCCGGACGCTTCGTCATATATCGTACCACCGGAACCACCTCGCGCTAACCCAACGCTAGCCCGCTATCCATATCGCAATTACGAATTCCTTCAGAATGGAGGTGTTCCCCATTTAATTTGGTACGACCCCAGACTTGGGCCGCCAGCGGGCAGCTTGCCCCTTATACCGCCCACAATTGACCCTCCAAATTACCGCAACTCTCCGGGAAACTATCACTTCTATGATGCGCTTCCTATGCCGAGCAGTTACAAATATTCGACGGCGGGCAGTTATGATAATGTATGGCGGAACCCGCAGGTGGCCCCGTATCCTATGACACCGAATTTACCATAGGGGACCCGCACGGGTCATCTGCAACTCATTGGGGGTGGGAGAAGGGCTCATTGGAACGTCAAGAATGATATGAAGCACCTATGAACACGTGCGCGCGCACGCAAACGGCCCGCCCAGTGCCACATGAATTTAAGGTAAGACGTGAGAGCCACGGGGAACGATATCGGGCGGAGTTCCTAAGGTTTTTGCACTAATGTGGATAGCTCTGTGCCTGGATATTTCAACGTCCGGATATCTCACTCGGTCTTGAATTCGGATGTCTATATTTCAATATCGATGTCTATATCCAAGTCTCCGAGCTCCATACTGTTAATGTTGGTGGTACTGGATACTTGAGGACTAGGGCCAAATGACCACAAATCGCCTGTTTCAGCGGGAGCTGCCTGTGCACATTCGGCGGCAACCTCGGCGAATAACTCGTCATGCTTCGGCTGGGCCTGTTCCACAATGTCGAAAGGGTCAGCTGAGTCCGGATGCAGATGTATGGCATATTTCTGGATGACATCTATGGCAGATAGGGACTTGCCTTTGAACTGGTCTTCTCCCCCAAGGCTCCTAATGAGCTCATCTTCCCAGTCCTTCTGTTCCTGGAGGGCCTTGGCTTTCTTCGCTGCTTCGGCGTCACGAATGCGTCTTCCAGAAAGATCTCTGCTGCTTTCGAAATTGTGAACCTTGACCTTCATGCCCTTCTTTTTGAGCATGCTACCGAACCCGCCTTTGCCTCCCAGCGTCACCAGGGCCACGTCAAACACGACATTCGACTGTACGCTGTCAGCATCCAGGCAACTGTCACTTGACAAAACCTTGCCGCCTCGTTTCAGATAAAACGGGGGCTTCGAACGATGTTGTAACGCAGGCAGAATCTCATAGCCGAGAGCTGCAGCGGCAATGGGGTAAAGTTCCCCACCAGCACAAACTCCTGGGTCCAGTGGTATATATGTGCCTTGTAACCTGAGGTAGCTGGCCGTCATATGTGGTTTTTTTCCCGGCCAATTTAAAATTAGTTCCTCTCCGGGTAGGTTACACACTTGGCGCCGGAGAGGCAGCGCAATCCTGGGTTGACACAGCCACGTTAGCGTCGGCACAATGTCTGTATCATTCACTACTGCCAATCCCTTTGCGCACTTGTTCTGATCTAATCTATTTAATGCAATTGTTAAAGTTGCCTGTGTGCAGGCAGACGGATAGGGTGAGGGCGGGGGGTAAAATGGTCTAGTCTACGAGGAGCTCTTCAATAGTCCAGTCCTCATACTCGCCGTTGGGCAAATACCGACGAATCATAAAAGGCATTGTCTTGGCGATGAGTTCTTTTTCAGCTAAGACTAATGGGTCGCTTTCGCCTTCAATTGGCACTGTCACAGGCGCGCCAAGACTAATTTGAAGAGCCCGTGTCCCAATAACTCGAGCCTTCTCGAACTTGGTCATATATGGACTTGTCTGGCGAGGTCCAGTCCTGCAAGCACAAAAAGGTAACACAGTCGTTGAAAGCGAACGAATAAGAGGGAAGGTCCCAACAGGAAGTTCTAAGTCCCAGGAGAAAGTCCTTTCTTACGCAGCTTTTGTGCCGGGCCTATGCGAAGGCAGGGCGTTTTCAGCTGGCACGATTTCCGTTTCCTCCCCATCCGGAGTGTCTTCGGGTAATTCCAGACCGTCTTCCTCCTGAAGGATGTCGTCGAAGACGTCATCCTCCATCCCCATGTCGAAGTCATCGCCTAAGTCCGCCATTAGTTTTAAATGATTGCCGAAAAAGCTGAAAGCCCAGGCTCCCGGCCATGTGCTCTAACCGAGCATCACCGACCGACAACAACAAGTCTGAGTCCCAATTAGACCCAGAAAAATACCCAAGCAAGGTAGTCACATGCCCCCTCCTAGTCCGGCTGCGTAACCGTGGGCCAGTCACATGCCCCCTCCTAGTCCAGCTGTTAACCGTGGGCCACTGGGGTGCCGTCCGCGCGTACTATTGCTAACCACATGCCATTCGCCAGTTGGCACCTTCTTTACTCACAGGGACACCTTCGTTGCTTGCCACTTGTTCACCTCGACACTCGTTTACCTCGACTTTTTGCGCCTCAAAAGGCGCGTCGTGTTGCCGCATTGTCCCGGTCCTGGTTCCTGGCTTCAGAACACGGTGCTCTGGCCGACCGAGCCCCTCCCGCGATCGCTTGCTACGCACGCGCACGCATTCCTGTCCAATTCTTCAGCAGACTTTATCTTGTCACGACTCCGCATTCGTCCAAACACAACGTCCCAGCCAGTCTTACATACGAATTGGAAGAGAACACGTTACCCGGTCTTCCCGCGCAACCAGCACTGCACCCGACAAATTCTTCGCGGAACAAAGATGAACAAATGGCTTAGCAACTTTTGGACATGGGTCTTTTATGTCGGTTTAAAATACCCAACCGAAGTCGAAGAACTCAGCCAACAAACACATCTGGCTTATTACGATGGTCGCTTCCAGCTACCTACCGATCACCGTCAGCCCTTCACCAGTACTACACCAACCGACGCTTTATAAGTGACGGTTCAGGCTTACAGCTTTCCGGACCAGATCAGCCGCCGAATGTTGTGTTCAAGAGCGGGAAACCCTCCACGGCGGTCCGGCTTGCAAGGTGGCGCGGTTCGGCCAACAAGGCGCTGTGTTCGTTTGTGACCAATCGCTCTCTGCCGCGCCCTCTGCAATTGAATGCAACCAAGTCATCTGTAACCGGGGTGAGTCCTGATGAGAGTATCTGGTGAGAGAGTCTCAAAGATCCCAAAATGGATGCCCGACCTCAGGAGTACGATAGGACATTGGGGAAATTGTATTCGGCGAGACTATTGATGGAGATCGGAAAATGTGCGATGGGATCAACGGTTACTAAAATGTGCCACATGTTGTCGGGTTAGCAGATCTATTGTCGGTATTGCAGATCTGTAGTCGGTAAATGGTTATTGTCGGTAAATCATATGTGCCCTCTTTCAAAGTGCATGCAGTACAAAAATTTGAGCGACTTTTCAAATGACTTACAACTCTCGGGATGTCTCTCAGGACCGTTGCCAGGACGCTAAGGCAGCCGTGGAGCAGGCCGCCAAGCACCTCGTAGACGTGACGTTGGAGCACGCAAGTGATATGGAGACTTGCGGACGCAGCCATGGGGCTTCGGACAAGAAGGATATGATGTCTGCAGCAGCGTCTCCTGCCGCAGCGTCTCCTGCCGCACCGTCTCCTGCCGCACGGTCACCTGCCGCACCTTCTCCAGCCATGCCGTCTCCCGTCGCGCGGTCTCCAGCCGCACCGTCTCCCGCTGCACCGTCTCCAGCCAACTTCAAGGATAACGTGGACGTGCACGCTAAGGCAGGTGCGGTAGATACCAGTGCATACTCGCTAAAGACGCCTGCTACACCTGCTGTGGACACGCGTGACTTCCACTTTGATACGGGTGCGGCTGGTTCTGCGTTGAAGGATGCGAAAGATTCGGCAGTATCTCAGGCGAAGACAGGCTTCGAAGCGGGTCGGCAAGACGCCGATCAGCTTGGGTCTGCCGCCGCAGATGCCCTGGACCGAGGGATGGAGGGTGCGAAGCAGGTTGGCCATGACGTGAAGGACTCGGTAACTTCTTTCGCCAAGTCGGGTTACGACGCTGCCAAGTCGGGATATAACTCTGCCAAGTCGGAGTACGATTCTTCCGGGAACTACAACATGGGTTCGTCCACGAACAATTCATCCATGGGTTCGTCTCTATACGACTCGTTCCAGTCTGGAAAGGCGGCGGCGGAAAAGAACCACGATGTGAAGTCGGCTACAGCCTTCTCGAGCAAATCCGCGCTTTCAGATGGCTACCACCAAGCGCGCGACCAGCAGGGCTATAGTTCGGCAGACTGGAGCCACCCCAGTTACGGCATGAGTGCCCGCGCGGCAGACGCTAAGGACTCGATCGTGTCCAGTGCAAAGAACACGGCCCTCGATGTGGCGGACACAGTGAGCGCACGTGCGGCAGATGCGAAGGATTCGGTCGTCTCCAGCGCCAAGACAGCTGGACACGAGATGTCTACTGGCTACGCGGAGGGTAAGACACTTAGCCTGCATCCGGAGCGCGCATTGCGAAGCACGGCGGCAGCTGCGAGTGGAGTCATCGGGGACGCGAAGGACTCGTTTTCGTCGGGTGCCAAGGCGGGCGCGGACTTGACGGCACAGGCGGCGGGGAAGGTCATCGATGTGACTGCCCCGGCGCTGTATGCGGCCAAGGATACGCTGGCCTCGGGTGCCAAGGCGACGGCACACGCCGCAGCTGCTGGTAGTAGCCAGCTCGCCAAGGGCACCGGCTTTGTCGCCGGAAAGGCTGTGAACGCCTTGGAAGGCGCGGCTGATCTGACTGCCTCCGGACTCCAGGCGACGGGCTCTGTCCTCGCCGACGCGGGACGCACAGCGGCTGAGACTGCCGCGGAGGTGGCCGTGGACGCGAAGGACGCTTTGGCTTGTGGAGCCAAGGCAACCACGCACGCCGTGAGTCGAGCGGCGGGTGCTACCGTTGAGGGTGCCTCGCAGCTTGCCGGCAAAGTCGCGGACGCGACCGCAACTGGCGCCAAGGCGGTGCTGAATGCCGGCGCTAAGGCAACCGGTGCCGTACTCGGCGGCGCAGGACACCTCGTGGCCGATGGGGGTCGTATGACGGTTGCGGGAGTGAACAAGGCGGCGGATTTGGTCGCTGAGGGCGCGATTGAGGCCAAGGACGCGTTGGCTTCGGGTGCTAAGGCGACGCTGCACGGCGCGGAAGCCGTGCTCGAGGGTGGAGCCAAGGCCACAGGCGTGACGGCAGGGTTAGTTGTGGACGGTGCGATGGTCGTGAAGGACGGCGTAGTTGGCACCGGGCACCTGATCGCTGACGGTGCGACTGTGGTGAAGGACGGGTTGGCATCTGCAGC